CATCAAAGTTCGGCTCATCAATCGAGCGACTCACTGCTCAGCACCAGGCGCGGATCCAGGATTTTCCAATAGGGGGGGCCGGAAATTTGGAAAGTGTGCAGACCATTTTTACAACTCAACATACCAATACTGACAAGGTCATATCAGAAGCACCATACCGGTACAATTTTTGACATTTTCATCGGGGGGGGGGGGGGGAGGGGCTAAAGCCTCTTTCATGACAAAAGTTTTATTAAATTATTAGAGAAAGAAGATGATCCGTTATATTCTCGACTCTAAAATAATCCTTGTCTGAATTCAGTTTTCCCCCGCCCGCCCGTAGCGCGTAATTTTCGGACGCTTTATTAAATTATGAGAGAAAGAAGACCATTCGTTGTACCATTCTCGACTCTTAATCCTTGTTTGAATTCAGTCTTTCCCCTTCCCGCGCGAAGCGCGGCAGCTTTGACGTTTCATTAAATTATTAGAGAAAGGAGAGGATTCGTTGTACCATTCTCGAATCTCGATCCTTGTCTGAATTCAGTTCCTCCCCCCCCTCCCGCGCGAAGCGCGGAAGCTTTAACTTTCCATAGTTTAATGATATTGTTAGAGGAAGAAGATGATTGGTTGTTCCATTCTCGACTGTCCTACTTGTAGCTACCTGCTCCCTCTATATAGAAAACTTCCCAAATCGGTGTCTTTTGTTCCCCCATGATCCTCTTTTTCTTACGTTAAATGAGAGCTGAGTTAATGAGATAGCCACCTGTCACAGTGACCTTGCTGGCTCGCTTGGTGTTCTAACCCCTTCTGGCTGAAGTAGTAAAGCCTGCCTTTAATCCTTCACTGAATTCAGTCCCCTCCCCCTCCCGCGCTAAGCACAGAAGCTTAACGTGTCATTAAATTATTAGAGAAATAAGACGATTCGTTGTACCGTTTTCGGAATTTTCAAAAATATTTCTTTGTCTGCTCCTTTTTTGTCTTATGTCCTCTTACTGCCCCTACCGCCCTTGGCTACACGCCTGCTTTAAAGGGAACATGAAGCAATCATGATTGTGATAGCACACAATTAGGTTAGTAGAAACGAAAGGAAAAAAATATCTATTACACCAACCATGGATAAATCACGGCCGGGAGCGTCATATCATATCATATCATTTAATAGTTTTGTGTTATCGGGCGAGGGCCGGGGCGTAGCGACCAAGCGAGATTTTGCAATGTTGAATGCTGAAATTATGCATTCTAGAAAATCCCTAAGCCCAATAATTCTTTCCGCTATATGTCTTTCTAGCTGTATTTTTAAATTTCCAGGGCGACGTGTCCCCCTATCGGGCCCAGGATCGCCGCCCCTGCCCGTGTCCATGTACCTGTGTTGGCTAAGTCAGTAGAGCGTCCGCATCACAACCGGGAGGTCGAGGGTTCGAACCCCGGCCGCGTCATATCAAAAGACGTTAAAAGACCTTGTTTGGCGTTCAGCAATAAGGGATAGAGCAATGTCGATCTGGCGCTGCTCAGTGGCTGCCGGGCTCACGATCAATTGGGCAAAAAGAATTTCCATTTTCGGTTTAACTTAATAAAAGATTACAAAATATGGACTATAAAAGATTATTATTATTATTATTATTATTATTATTATTATTATTATTATTATTATTATTATTATTATTATTATTATTATTATTATTATTATTATTATTATTATTATTATTATTATTATTATTATTATTATTATTATTATTATTATTATTATATGCTTCTTAATGGTACGGGTATTTCCACATACCCATGTATTGTCCAACTCATATTGTCTGAGCTTGGCTTCACGCACATCTTCCTTACGTATACAAATAAAACGAATGAGATAGATGTCTATAATAGTTTTTGTTTGAAGAGGTTTATACGCAGGATATTTTCAATAATATGTATACTACTCTCGATCACATTATAACACCGGCTTTTAGCCCTGCGGCCATGATAAGCATTGAAGCAATCTATCTCTTCCTACCGGGTACCCATTTATTTCACCTGGGTGAAGGATGGCAAATGTAGATTGATGTTTTGCCGAAGGACATTCGCGCTGTGGCAGGGGTTCGAACCCTAATATTTAACTCTTTGTTAATAGTGCGTTTATTTATCCAATAATCAAACTACATAGTCTCCATCTATATTAGTTTATTTTACACAAGGTCGCAGCCACCGTCTATTAAAGTGTAAATGACGAGACGAAATAGTAATGACGGCAATTTCTAATGACAGTTATTGAATATGGTTGAAGACATAAATATCTTACAGATTCAAGTTGGAAGATTGTTTTACAAGTTTCATCATTTTTTTATATTTTTTTTTTGGATTTGATTTGATTTATTTTTCACTCAAATATCCACAAATTAAATGACATATATAAACCATACAATAATACAATATATAATAGAACAAATGAATTATAGAAGTAACGAAATACTGACAAGTATGTTCGTAATCAAATAAGTTTACAGAGTACATTCAAGTTTGAGAATAAGAGAAAATATTTTATATTGCTTGACTTAACTGAGAGGGGGGAAAGGGGAACCTCAGAAAAGCTAGGTTTGTTGAGCGAGATTCCCAGTATAAATCAAATAATGGACCATCAACAAAGTGCATCAAAATCTGCACATGTCCGCTCCCAGAGAAACCAGAGACGCGCGAACCCACCCGCCCGCGCCAGATCCTCGGGTCTCCCCCGCCAAGGCCAAGGCCAAGGCCCATTCATAATCCTCTTTTAATGTAAGATATATGGTAAATCTATCGACGAAATCAAACGAATATCTGTAAACAGGATATGAGTATACCTGTACTTTTAAAATCAAATTCATCATTTGCAGACATGCAGGATACCATTTCTAATACCTTTTGTAGATGTGATGCATGCAACAGGACGTTAAAAGAAAATACATCAATAAGTGCCACGTGATACTATGAATTCTCATGACAAACAAAGAAAATATGAAATCCGTTTCATTTTTTAAATCAATCACTCAATATTTTTTGAACGACATACAGCCAGCAAGAATAATTTTTTGGTACGTTTTATTTTTATCCGTAGTATTGACAATATACAGTTGCATATGAAGTTGGAATACATGTTCTTACCTCTCATCCTGAATAAACCTCCGACAATATGATTTATAAGTTTGTGACTTCTCATAACCTTATAGATCAATATTTTACCTTTTTAGATTGATCAATAAAGTTCGGAGAAGATATTAACTTTATACAAACCATATTGGCGGAACCATTTCATGAAAAGGCGAAGGACAAACTTATTCCAACTTTACGAGAAAAAGTGCAGAAAACCAAAGAGGGAAGGGCGAGGAAAATTCATGTCCACTTGTCGATCCTGAACCCTGTAGCTTGTGATCTATAGTCCGGTGATTTATCCACTAGACCACAGCACCTTAGCTCTAAACCGTGTGAGTCAAAAAACAAGTTTACACCTAGAAAATGGCTAATTATTTTAAAGATCATCTATGGACAGTAAATTATTATACATCTTATGAAAGAGTGTTATATCCCAAATCATTTGGTATCTTTTTGTGTGGTATGTGTTCACAGGAGGCATTGTTTGCAAGGGTGCAAAAATCGACTTGCGCCAAAGTTGCTTATGTGATGTATTAGAGTAATAGAGGATGAATTAAATGTATCAAATAAGATGCATTGCATAGGCTTTTTGCAGAAGCAAAGTCACACACACATACATTTGATATTTGATATTGTGTGGCATGATTTATTTTGTTACGGGTGTTATTTGGATCTGCAAAGAACGAATTAATACCCAAATCCCAATTGTTTTATTCAAACATCCCATAAGAAACTTTGGCGCATTTAAGTCGATTTTTGCACTCTCGCAAACAATGCCTCCTGTTCATCCAAGCGTGAACACATACCACACAAAAATGATACTAAATGATATGGGATAAAACAATCTTTCATAAGATGTATGATAATATACTGTTCATAGATGATTTTTGAAATAATTAGCAACTATCTAGGTGTAAACTTTTTGTTTTGACTCACACTGTATGTATCCGTTCTAAACAGTGGATTATCTAGTATAGAGATGATCCGGCGTAAGAACCTAGCTCGATGGAAGATCCAAAGGGGGAGGGGGGTATTGAAGGTCATCATGCAATTGTAATGTTTCTATATTTCAATTTGTGATGCTTTAAGCTTTTGAAAGTGCCTTAAATTGATTTTTTTTTTAATAGTCTCCGCGATCTTTCTTCTTCTCGCCCTCTCGCCTTCTCGCCCTCTCCCTCTCTCTTTATCTTTCTTAAGCTCCCCCTCCCCATCCCACTCCCATCCCACTCCCCTGCCCTTACCCTCCCCTCTGACTCTTTCTTTCTGTCTGTCTCTTTCTCTCTCGCACTCTTATCTATCATGTCTTTTTCTCCTGGCAATATGACACAATCTTGCAGGCGGATGTTTGCCTCTTAATTTCCAAACTATACGGCAATTTAAAACAAAGCTTGATTGTACGACTAGTACCTAAGGCAGGCGCGGATCTAGGATTTTCCAATAGGGGAGCCGGAAATTTGGAAAGTGTGCAGACCATTTTTTCAACTCAACATACCAATACTGACAAGGTCATATTAGAAGCACCATACCGGTACAATTTTTGACATTTTCATCGGGGGGGGGGGGGGGGGGGGGGTTAAAGCCACTTTCATGACAAAAGTTTTATTAAATTATTAGAGAAAGAAGATGATTCGTTGTTATATTCTCGACTCTAAAATAATCCTTGTCTGAATTCAGTTTTCCCCCGCTCGCGCGTAGCGCGTAATTTTCGGACGCTTTATTAAATTATGAGAGAAAGAAGACCATTCGTTGTACCATTCTCGACTCTTAATCCTTGTTTGAATTCAGTCTTTCCCCTTCCCGCGCGAAGCGCGGCAGCTTTGACTTTTCATAGTTTAATGATATTGTTAGAGGAATAAGATGATTGGTTGTTCCATTCTCGACTCTTAAAGGTACATTGTCCTACACTGTAAAAATTTGCTGTAACTCATGCAGTAAAATACTGTGATTTACAACAGTAATATGTTGTAATAACGATTTTACGATAATTAACTGTATAAGTACGTTGCTGTACAGTATATTGCTGTAAACATCAGTGTCGTAGAGCATGGGAACAAATATCTACAGTAAGCTAGTGTAAAGGAGCGTGCAAAAAGCATTGTGGGATACAGCGCACATGCGCATTAGGCGGATCGGCTGCATATGCGCGTATGCGTTGCACGTGATTGGCTCCCGCGCTACCCGCCACGCCGCGCCGCCATTTTTAATTTTCTGCAAAGATTTGAGCTGAGATATATAGCTGAGCTGGCCGGCCTGATCCTGAGCAACGAATCTGAATCTGTTCCTGGTCCTGATCCTCGAGCTGGGATATTGATGACCAATAAGTCAATTCCAAGGGGATCCGAGGTAAGTTACAGATTGCCAATTATCAGAGTCATGATTTGATTTGTATCCCGCTGAAGTGAAGAATTGTCAGACTGTGGAAAGTATAGGGATTGTGTTTGTAATTGTTCCGTCTACGGTATATGTGTACTGTACGTGCTGTGCTGTGGTGTGTGGGACAGAGTCGGTAGTGTTAGTGCAGCACATGACACTGTACTGCAGTACCAGCGTACAGTGTCACTGTCAATGCGATGCCATTGCACATGGATATGCATGCTCACGTTAAATTGGAAATGTCTAACGTCAAGACCATCAAGACTTATAACTTATAGGACACCGCACACACTACGATCGACTACAGCATCAGTCCATCATGAGCACACTGCGTGATCAGTTGAATACGCACAAGTCTAAGCTCATGTAGGCCTAGTGTAGTCTACAGCACGTTACTGAAGAAATTACAGCAAAGTACTGGCAATCCTGCTGCATAGTGTAATTTTACTTAAAAGTTAATATATGAAATAAAATTACAGTAAGTTACTGTAAAATTACTTAGTATTTTACTGTTACTTAGTAATTTACAGTAAGTTACTTTAAAATTACTGTAATTTACTGTAAAATTACTGTAATTTACTTTTTAGAAGGTCGCAGCGTTGTCATAGCAACCAAATAGGCCATTCCGTAACTGGCAGTAAGTTACTGTAAAATTACTGAGTAATTACTGTAAAATTACTGTAATTTACAGTAACTTACTGCTAGTTTACAGTAAATTACAGTAATTTTATTTCATATTAATTTTGAGTACTTGTCTACTGTAATTCACTGTAATTTTAATTTACAGTAACTGTAGGTTATATCTACAGTAAGTTACCATCAATTTTTACTCAAAGTATCTGCCTGTAAACTTTCCTACAGTAAATCACTGCATTTCTTAGAGTAAATTGCTGTTACCGTAGGTTCTTCAAATACTAACAGTAAATTACAGTAATTTTTGTCTTTAAGGATTGTAAATTTGTTTTACAGAAATCTATTGTAGTTTCATTTACCGCAAATGAATGTTAATTTCACTTATGTAGTAACATTCATAGCCGTGAAATCAAATGTTTTTTTGCTGAAGGTTTCGCATACAGTCATCATCAGGAGGCTCGTGACAACTGGTTATATTTGATGAATTTATGTTTTTCTTTCGATTTTCTTTTGTATTTTTTGTCCTTTATCTTTTTTTTTATTATTCATTTATCATTTAAATAACTTTTAATCTGTCAATGCTGTACATAAAAAGTTATGTGTACGTATGCATATTAAAGGTATTGTTTTCCGCTCTTCTTTCTTGCAGTATGCCATGGATTACTGCTGAAGTCACACAGTGTGCATGCTGAAACACTAATCAGACGGATGCTCTACATGGACATCATATACCCATGTACGTTTGTAAGCTATGTAATCATTCTTCTGGATCATTGAAGCGGTTTTCTGAACACTTTTCAGTCCATAGAAATGTGGTGAATTTCGATTTCCCGTGTGGTGTTCCTGGCTGCAATCGAACATTCAGAAATTATTCATCCTTCAAAACCCATGTGCATAGGGATCATCAACCATTTTCAAGAAAAAAAGATGCCCAGTTTTTCTGCGTTTCTACCTGGAATTGTCCACTCTGTGCTGTAAAATGTGAGGAATGGAATCCACTCATATAGGGGTACTTTTTATATCGCAACATGTCTGTTGTTCTGGAAAAAAAGGGGTTTTCCCCTCTAGGTACTTTACTGATGGGGATAGATCAGGGTAAATTTCCCGATCACAGAATACCTGGTATTCTCGAACTTCCAGTCAGTCTGAATACGCCTTAAGATATATATACTGGAAATGTCATTTCTTGCAAAATTTATAACATGTTCTGTATAATTATAAGAAGTGTATCTTAGTACAGACTAACATTCAGAACAAATTACAGGGGCGCCTACATACTACATCAATTTCAAAATTATCAATAAAAAAAAATCCCACTTACATTGAGTATCTGAACCCTTTACTTTCACACACTTTCTTAAAATTTTATTTGTGTCTTTTTGCCCTTTTTAGACATTTGCAAATGTTATGCTTGCAAAAGGGATCATGTACCTTTAATATGCATTTCAATTGAACTTAATATGAAACATCACAAGTGAAAATTGAAATTTGAAATCAAATATTTTGTTAGTGAGGGAGGTTAAAAAAGTCACGTGACTTCGTGGTATTAAGGAAGCCGTGTGTTTAGCCTTGATGCAAAGAGACCAACTACAGGGAGCCCAAACTTTTTTAATAAATTGTGTCTAGCGGTCATTGAACTTCCTAGACAAAGCATTAGCACATGTATTCTGTGAGCCTGGCATGTGTGCAGCCTTGTCATCATAAGCATTGCTTGATTGTTTACTTACTGTTTTCCAAAATATGTTTTACATTACTTGCAATTTAGCATTATTTTACCTTAGTGAATTTTCATATATTTTAGTCTGTACATGCAATACACCTTTATTTTAATAAATTTAATAAGTCATGAAATAAATGAATTTGCCAAATATTAGGCCTATATTTAAGTAACCTATATTTTATTTCGACATATTTCAAGTTATATAATAATATATTTTTTTTAAGTAACTTATATTTTATTACGATATATGTTACGTTATATGGTAATATGTTTTTTTATCATATTTAATACGTAGCAATATTGTAGCTAAACGAATTTCATAATTTTATGTTTTCATTTTACATGTACACAAATTGATCATATTTTCTATTTTCTTTGTTCATTGTGCACATTGGTAATTCTATTTCATTAATTTCTGTATATCATGTATATTTTCTTATTGTCAAGTATGTTTTACGGTTTTTGTTATTTTGCACAGCCCCTTTGTAAACCAGCCGAGTAGCTGAATAGGGCTTTTACCGTCAATAAATCAATCAATCAATCAATTGAATGACAGCTCATGAAGTTGAAACAAGTTTCTGTGCAGAATTGGCATGTAAATGAGACAAAAATACAGAAGAATATGAAACACGTATTAAAGATTACAAGTTTAATATAACAGAGCAACTCAAATTAAATGGGGTATTAGTTCAAAAGATAAATTAAACAAAAATAAAGTGAGTAATGTCTTTTGGAGAGATTCTACCAGGTATAGAGAGTTTTCCTTGATTCTGCCAGGTATATGGAGACTTTTCATTGATTGTATTCTGATAGTAGTTGTCGTTTAATAGTGGCTTTAAAGGAAGATAAAAGTGTATAAAATATGTCTTGTTTACAATTGAAGATAATTCTTTACAATAGTTTTTTACAATTCTGAATTTTAAAGTGAACATATTGTTGTCTGTTCGACAAATAATTTTTGACCCAAGAAAGTGCAGTGCCCCTAAGCCATACGTTGTGATTTAGCATATCAATGCCTTAAAGCCGCTATGTCTGCACAATTGCATGTGTTATTCTGTCGTATAATTAAATTAATGCTAGGTCGGGTGAATGATTTTTTTTAAAGCCATATTGGTTGGGATTAAGCAAGTTATGTGTATTTCAGAATTGGTATAATCTAAACAATTTTTTCAAGAATTTTTGAGATACTGGAAGGATGACTATGGGTCTGTAGATTCTTGAGTACTTGAACTTTTGCAGTTTTTAGTGGTTTTACTTGTTTTAATGTTTTACTTGATAGTTTCTTTGCAAGCATTTTCATAATGTTACACTATTTGAGAAACTTGTTTTATGGAGCGTTGATTACCCAATAAAGACTTTAATAATGATTTTTGTGTTCAGAAAGCTTGTTTTTTCCTCAAATTAACAGGATGATGCTGCTAATGTCAAGTTAGAATACTGTACTTATTACATTAACTTAATGTAAATGAGAGAAATAGATTTAAAAAAATAACAGGATGATACTGCTAATGTCACAGTAGAATACTGTACTTAATACATTAACTTAATGTAAATGAGAGAAATAGATAACAAAATAACAGGATGATACTGCTAATGTCACAGTAGAATACTGTACTTATTACATTAACTTAATGTAAATGAGAGAAATAGATACAAAATTAACAGGATGATACTGCTAAAGTCACAGTAGAAAAGCTGTACTTATAACATTAACTTAATGTAAATGAGAGAAATAGATACAAAATTAACAGGATGATACTGCTAAAGTCACAGTAGAAAAGCTGTACTTATTACATTAACTTAATGTAAATGAGAGAAATAACATTAATTTACTGTAGAGAAAAACTTACAGTACATAACTGTAAATACATTTAAATTACTGTGAATAAAATTACATTAATTAACTGTAAGAAGAACTTACAATAAATACTGTAACCTTATACATGAAAATTTCTTTACAGTAAGCTTACAGTATTTTAATGACTTACAGCAAGTTACTGTTGAAAAACTTACAGGAAGTTACTGTAATGTCAAAGTTACAGTAATTTACTGTGCAACAAAGTTGCCAGTAATTTACTGTAATTTCTACAGTGAAATTTTTAACAGTGTACTTGTAGCTACTTGCTCCCTCTATATAGAAAACTTCCCCAATCGGCGTCTGCTGGTCCCCCATGATCCTCTTTTTCTTATGTTAAATGAGAGCTGTGTGTAAAGTCAGTACGGGCCGGATTTTGTGTATTACGGGCCGGACTTTGTTGCGTGAAAAGTTACCCTTTATCGGAGATTCCCGGAGTGGGAGGGAGGGAGGAGGGGGGGGGGGGGGGGCTTTCTTCTTTTTCTTTTCTCCTTTTTTTCTCTCTTTCTGCTTCTTTTCTCTTCTTTCTTTTCTCTTTTCTTTTCTATTCTCTTCTCCTTTCTTTTCTCTTCTCCTTTTTTTCTTCTCTTCTTTCTTTTTTCTCTTCTTTTCTTTCTCTTTTTTCTTTTTTTGCGCCGCCAATAGGGGGGGGGGGCCGCGGCCGTTTCGGCCCCCCTGGATCCGCCACTGGTGCTTGGTTATCCGCTGGGAGCTGCCAGTTTCTTCACCGGTAGTCTTTCACTTATATGAGCTCGACTCACCGCAGCTCATCTAAACATTCATCATCAAAGTTCGGCTCATCAATCGAGCGACTCACTGCTCAGCACCACTACCGGCTTTGATGTCTGCATTTTCCACTTTGGCCTCCGACATCAAACGACTCACTGTTTCATCGTCGAGCGTAACTTTTTTCTCTTCTCTTCTCGCCCGAGAGCTCCATCTACATTCATCATCATCACGGACGTCAGCGTCGAGATTCTTCACGGCTCTTCAGCCACGACAACGAAGTTACATCTCCGCCATCAAGCCTCCGCACATTTCATCGCGTGAGCCCCTTCCTTCGTTCTCAACTCTCTTCATCTTCATCTTCTTTGGACTTTCGACTTCATTTCTATTATTGTCGTAAGCTCTATTTATGTACATCGCATTTATTCACGTTCATTATGTACATCGCATTTATTCATGTTCATTATCATCATTGATCATTATGTAATCTCCGTGCAATATTCACATTTACCATTTATGCATTTTCATTCCGATTCTTCGGCTTGTGCTTGGCTACACTTTGCAAGTGTACGGCCGGCCTCATCAGTACCCAATAAACTAACGAAAAGGGAATACTTTCTTTCATGTATTTTATTGTCAGTGCAACCTTGTTTCCTCGTAGCTAAAATAAAAATAAGAGTTATGTTGTGTGACGAGTGAACACGCTTTCAAATATCCATTCACAATACCTCGCACTCATATATCTACAAGATATTTGACGGCGTTGCGGCTGACATTACCGGCATCGTAATATACGCTGATTGTTCAATCGGTAAATTACTGCTTTGTCGACGCGGTGGTAGTCGGAGTCGTAACCGCTTCATTGCCCAATCATCGAGACGCGTCTCGCCCTTCTGCTTCCATTTTAAACATGTGACATCCTTGATCACGTGGTCGATCAGCTTGGTATTCGAGTCGGTGTTCGACAAGGAGGTTGGCCCGGAGTCTCGGTAGAGCAGAGGGATGACGTTTGGGTGCATGGTGTCCAACGCGTGATGGAGTTCAAACAAATGCCATTCGTTTCCTGAAAGATCGTTCCCAGAAAATGATGGCGATGATGGAGAAGACGATGATGATGACGAGGAAGTCAGTTGTGCAGCTGTAGTTTCTATCCTTCCTGATGTAGATTGCGATGATGAGGACGATGAATGCCGGTAGAAATCTGCTGACAGTAACACGATGCAGCGGCGGCTTTTTTCAGCGCTTCCACGATTTCTTCACTTTCAACTAATGATGCAAACAGAATGATGGAAACAGAATGATGGAAACAGAATGATGGAAACAGAATATACATTTGCCCAAGAAATATAAGATCAGTGGAAGAAAATTGGGGATCGAACAAGTATAACATCTAAATTAGGCATACTAATGTTAATACATCATTAAGATAAATTATCTTGATATTGTACTTCTTCGTTCCCCCAGTATCAACTGGATTTGGGTTTTGGTTGAGAAGGGGGAACGGTCTTACTTTGATCAAACTTACATGTAAGCCTACATTTTTTTGTCACTCACAGTAGTAGTCAACATGCGGAAAAAAAGAGAAGGTATTTATATTAATATTTATCTGATCAAATCAATTTCATTATGCTGCTATTCTTATGCTTCAGTCATACTTCCATTTAATCCTATCGCAAGCGCCACGTAATTTTGTTAGATATTGTGATTAACAGAACTTTACTGAAGGGAGTGCAAAAAAAGATCGAACTAACCAGAGCCGAATGTTGCGTCTCTTTCTCGTATGAATAGTTTATACTGGTCCTGCAAACTCGGGCAGAGAATGTTGTCGACAAAGGATTTATCCTGGCCTTCATAACATGAAATAATGTATGCGTCGTAGAGTTTGTTATCTATCTCTGGAGAAAGAAAGAGAAGGAGAGAGAGAGAGAGAGAGAGAGACGGTGAGAGAGAGAGGGGTTGGGGAGGGTAGACAAAAATAAATACATAAGAATAATTGACAAAATTAATCACACATTGATTGATTCATGGTCATAAAAAAAATCATACAAAAAGGGGTCGTCAAAAGCATAGCTTGAAATGACGTCTTTGACAAATATGTCTCCATATCATGAACGTCCTAGAATTTTTTTTTTTTTATCTATTTCTTGTTTAAAAAAAGAGGGAGAGAGAGAGATAGATGGGGCAACAATCTTAACAACAATGATAATAGCAAGATTTATTTTGCGTTTATATCCATCCCATGGGATGCTCGTGTCTCAATTATAATTTATTATCGCGCCCAAGGAATACATTCCTACCAGGGTGGAGAGTGTCATTTAGATGAACTGCCAAATGAATGTATGGTGATGGAATGCCACTTTAAGCAGGAAGCCCTCTCTTGACGGTGGAATGACAGCTATAACTCTACTTTGGTTGATCCCATTTACTCTCAAACTCCCACTCTACATACTCATGTCCCCAATAAGCCAGTTTACAGATACAATCTGCGCATGGGCAGATGAAGTTCATTTGTACCAAAATGGTAAAACCCACAGAGATGAATACTGGATATGCGCTCATGAAAGTTATGTAACATTATTCATTTATGCACCAACGGTACATTCTATGATACGCAGGTGGAAGTATTCTTTTCAAGAGGTCAGATAAAAGGTATTCATGAAGCACATCTAGGACTTTGGCAGTTATTATTATAAGATGCTCAAAGTGGAACTTCTCCATGTGTAAAAGATCTGTGGATATTTGGGGTCATTTGTACCATGTGCTATCTGTAAATTTCCTTATTGGCATAAACCCTAGGGGAAAATAGGGTTAAGCAACCTCTTTAAAAAAAAAATATTTTCAGACAATTAAAGCCTCTGTATATTGTTAGTAACCCCTTCCATGGCTCACAGCCCAGATTACAGCATCATGTCATTTAATATTGTAGTGTAAGCAAGGGAAAACAAGGGATAGATTAATGCATTTTTTTATAGTCGAAGAGACGTTTTTTATGCCATGGAATTTCTCTTTTGCTGTAACACGTATTTACAAACGCTGTGCCAATAGAGACAACGTGCTTTTATGGGTTATAGTGGGAAATTGATTGGACCTACTTGTCTTAACTATAATAGAAATAGATTAATAGATGGATAGATAGATAGATAGATAGAGGATAAGAGAAAGAGAGAGGGAGGGAGGGAGGCCGGAGTGAGAGATAAAGAGAGACAGAAAGTGTGATAGTGGGATATTGATTGGGCCTACCTGTCATGACTGTTATAGAAATAGATTAATATATGGATAGATAGATAGATAGATAGAGGATAAGAGAAAGAGAGAGGGAGAGAGAGAGAGGCCGGAGTGAGAGATAAAGAGAGACAGAAAGTGTGATAGTGGGATATTGATTGGGCCTACCTGTCATGACTGTTATAGAAATAGATTAATATATGGATAGATAAATAGATAGATAGAGGATAAGAGAAAGAGAGAGGGAGAGAGAGAGAGGCCGGAGTGAGAGATAAAGAGAGACAGAAAGTGTGATAGTGGGATATTGATTGGGCCTACCTGTCATGACTGTTATAGAAATAGATGTATTGATAGATGGATAGACAGAGAGAGAAAGGGGGGGGGGAGGCTGAAATTATACCTTCTGTTTCTAGTGTGGCGCGATGGTCATGATTCCAAAGTTTGACGTCAGTGCCATAGCGTTTCCATGACAACACGACTAGGAAAAGGAGGATGGTCAATGTCGCAACCACGACCACCACACTGGTTGTGTCCGTGACCTTGACTACATGTTCCTCTGTGGTCGCTGTGAGAAAGTAGATAAAGAAACACGCACGTATGAGATGCTGATATTAATGTGAGATCCCTGTGGTATAACTGGAGGATTCTCATTATGATCGATCCAGGGTTCAATCTGTTCGGTACTAATATCCTTGGACGAAATGTTTGATCCACATTTGATCCTCTCGTCCTATGTAATAATATAGGTATAATGACTGCTATGAGAGGGATAGTGTTTTTATGGGCTCAAGAGGACGTTACATCCTGATATCACCCGAGGCGTTCCGAGAGGGTGATAGCAGGATGCAACATCCCCGAGAGACTATAAAAACTAATATGCCTCGAATATTAAAGCAGTCTTTATATCTTTTATAACCCGAATTCACAAAAAATGTACAAAGAATTCTTACCCTTATCCTGCTTTTTGTATAGTAAAGACTGGATAAAACATCACAGAAAATCTGAGACACTGTCTGTAAACCTTCGCTTGAAAGTTGCTTGAATGTTACAATCATTCGGGAATCCTACACACAGTACTGCACTGTATTTTGTATCCGCGCTCGCACAAATAAACTTTTAACACGTAAACCAATAGGGATCTCACCAAAATGTACCTTTGCGGGCATCTTTTAAAAGACTATTGACCGGTAGGCGGGCATTGCTAAAAGCACAACTCCAATTTCGACCAATCAGATGGCTAGATTTCTAAAGGTATATAATACTAATGAGGCTACACTGTTTTCAAACCAACCGGGTGTTGAAACCTGTGTTAAAACCATATGGGAGTGGGAGGATTCATTAGTCAATGGGTTCAATCGACCTGTTGGGCAGAATCTACATGTACATTAAAAAGTCCACACCTGAACCTATCCTAATATCTTTCAGAATCCAATTTAGGTCAAGTCGTAGTTAAGTCGCGGTCACGTCATGGTCAGGTCATAGTCAAACTGTAGTCAAATGGTAGTAAATTTGCGACCATGTCGAAAACAAGCCAAAATCGTAGTAAAGTCGTAAGAAAGTCGCTGTCAATCTTAGTTAAAGGCGTAAGGTGTCTACGCGGTCCAAGGATAATGCTTACCCAGCGAGAGTGTAAGGTTGACCTTCGTTAAGAACCCGGAGATCTTACAATGTACCTGGTACCTCCCCAAAGCCTCTTCAGTCACATTCATGATGTTCAGCCATGTAGACAAAATCATGAAAGGCTTCCTGGGTAAAGAGAGTCAAGCATAAAGAAAATCATAAATATGTATATCACCCTAATACGTCAAAAAGCTCTCGGATAAGCGGAATAAATGTTATATATTTCAAGTTTTCCGCCGGGAAGGAGGCACATTTTCTTCTCATATTCCTTATGTTTAAAGATATGCTAGGTTAGGTTTTGTCGAGTGGTAGGGGGTCGGTAGGGCGAGCCTCCTGAAAATCAGCCATAGCAAACAGCAGGTTAGGGAATCGTTTGTAAGCCCAATACATTTGGCAAGCTATTCAAAACGCAAGAAAAATTCATGCAAAATGATGCAAAACAGTACTTACGTAGCATTTGCTTCACCACCCCTTTGGCTGAACCATATGCATTACAATTGTGTGATGCCCCTCTTGAAGTCAAGATCTGATAAGAAGTTAATAAAAACGAAAAATCTTGCTTACTCTTGACAGTTTTTCTGAGTTAGGATGACATTTTCGTCTTCTTTTCTGTACCCATGCGTGAACTCCGTGCCTGGGATGTCATAAAAGTCCACCAGTTGAAATCCCCCGTATGTCTGGTTCAGTTTCCTCCAACTCTCCTGCAAGAAGCCCCCGGGGTTTCGATACTTGAACTGGCAGAAGAAGGAGGCGTTTCCGCCAAGAACGGCCATCTGATCCTTGCACACACCGCTGGATGATTTCAATGGAATGGGTTTGTTGAGCCATATTTTCTCTGCACAGAGATAGAGGAGAGAGAGAGAGAGAGAGAGAGAGAGATAGAGATAGAGAGAGAGAGAGAGAGAGAGAGAGAAGGGGGGGGGGGGTGAGGGGATAGACAAAAAAAAAGGGGGTTGAAAGAGAGAGATTGTTATTACTTTTATTATTATTAACAATATTGTTAGTAATGTTATTTTGCTATTATCATAATTACAATTATCATTCATGCTATCATTTTTATCAATTTTTATTACTATCAAAATTATATTATTATCAATATTATTATCATCATTGTTATTAGTTTTATTCTTTCAAGCCCTTCACCCTTTATGCCCCGCCCCTGCCTACCTTGGATACGCATGTTGATACTCCGATTAATATTCCGCACACCGTTCGACACCACGCAAGTGTATGTTCCTTCAGAGTCGACGTCTGCGGAAAGGAACTTGAGCGTTTGGTTGCTATCCTCTAACTTGTACTTAGTGTCGGAGTTGTTTCCCAAACTCCAGGAGTCGTACGGGATGCCATTGAAGAACCATTGTATGCTACAGAAATTGACGCTCATACACTGGAGAACACGGTACTGGCACTCGGTGGAGTACACATCGCTTGCCGTCTTATCCAGAAAGGAAAGCTCATCTGTGAGATTGGAGTAATGAAAAACCTTACTTGTACCAGCTGGATATCGAATATTTCACAACACAAGGAACCCTAACCCTAAACTTGATCCTATGGAATAGGTTTAAGCCCTGACCCGAGGACCAATTAACCTTGGCCATAGGGCCTAACCCCTGTTGTAAGAAATCTAATTGTCAAGTTTATTCAGAGAATTGACACTTCAGAAAATACGATTGTTAAAGTGTTAGTAAACCCAATGCATAACAGCACATGGTTCACCTCAGACTTGTGGAATTTCTGGTTCTGTAGCTTGCTGTCACAGTCGGCAGAGGTTGATAATTGATTAAAGTAGTTTTGTTTTGTTTCTCATATATCCATATGTGTTCAGAGTAGTACAAGGTTCACCTGCTTTATGCTTTCTTAGCAGTCAGGTAAAATAACACCAACCAACCACCTCAGACCTGTGGAAGTTCTGGTTCTGTAGCTTATTGTCACAGTCGGCAAGGTTGGTTAAAGTATTTTAGTTTTGCTCCTCGTATACCCATATGTGTTCCCTTCTTAGTTTTGTTCATTGTTTATGTAAATATGTATAAAGTATCAAGTATCAAGTTTATTTGTCTTCCAGAAAACACATGTGACAAAATATAATAGACTATAATCATAACAATACAATGTAGAATAAAGAAAGACGAGGAGACCTTGGTTGAAGCACAGCTTTTTAATAATATGTTCCTCCCTTATTTGTGTTCATTGTTTATATCTGCATGTAAATATGTTATATGGACCTCTGCTCTTGCAGCTGAGTCTGGAATAAAGTCTTGAATTGAATTGAATAATCATAATCTATCCATAACCCACACCCAAACCCAAACCCTGACCTGATTTCCAGAAATGAAGAAAATACATAATAAAATGTACACAACATCAGTATTATAATAATTTATTTGTATTATTATTACTGTCATTATTATTATAATCATTAGTATTCTCTGGACAGCTATAACATCATCATTATTATCATTATTATTAGTAGTAGTAGTATCATTGTTTTTATTATTACTATTATCATTGATAATATTATTATTATTATTATTATTATTATAAATAATATTATTATTTTTTTAATTATTATTCTGCTTATTATTATTATTATTATTTTTATTATTATTATTATTAATATTATCATTTTCAATATTGTGATTATCAGTATAAATATTATTGTCACTTCTATCATTATCATCATTTATTATTATCATCATTTTATTCATTCATTTCCTTTTTATCTGGGGGGATGGGGGTCAATCCATATCCTTTAAATTGTAATAGCCTGCTCAAATATAAACATCACAAGACATCACGGGTTCCAAAGCTCAAATAGCTTATTATTCATGCTGCACGAATTTTCTGCTGATTTCAATTAAATTCAGTCGTATTAAATCTGCCCTTTAGACTACTCCTCCTGTAATTCAAAGCTCTGTATAACACCTATATAATACCTCTTTCAAGCAACAGGAAGAAAATCTACAAGAAAACAGGCAAGACACTTAAAGCTCGAAATGCATTATGAGAGACAATACAGACAGAAAAACATGATTCAGCCGAGGACGCAGGTTCGAAACTGAGTCACGTCTTTCGGATGGTGACGTTTAAAGGTCGGTCCCCAGACGTAAATAATCATATCTGATTGACACACGTCTGTAAAAATAAAACACACACACACACACACACACATAACACGGCACATAAAGGGACAAACAAAAAGCTCCAAATGGAAAAATATCTATAATATGTACTATATTAATAGTTATTTACATAAAAATTCATGATAAATCTTGTCATTGACATCACATAAGACGGTTCTAGGACAACTACCCCCTGGATATCCGACCCGGATAACCACCCCCAGTCAACTACCCCTTAGGACACCTACCCCCTGGATATCCACCCCTGATAACCGCCCCCATTCAACTACCCCTTAGGACACCTACCCCCTGGACATCCACTCCGGATAACCGCCCCCAGTCAACTATCCCCTAGGACACCTACCCCCTGGACATCCACCACCGGATAACCACCCCGGGACAACTACGACCCGGACAACTACGACAATTATCCTCGAGGACAACTACCCCCGGACAACTATCCTAGGTGGTAGTTGTCCGGGGGTAGTTGGCTGAGGGTAGTTGTCCTAGGGGGTAGTTGACTGGGGATGGTTATCCGGGGGTGGATGTCCAGGGGGTAGGTGTCCGGATACGCACATAATACAATTACCACAGCTGATTGAAATAAATTGTAAGAAAATGCTTAATTAATGCATGTACAAGTTGTAGGGTCTACTAACTACTACTTACTACTATCAAGGTCCTTCGGACAAACCGTTGCTCCAGCCATGGTCTGAACGCCGAGAACTGACCAAACACTGATCATTAGGAATACAAGTCGTCTCATCACTTCCAAGTCCCTCATATTATCATTCATGATTCTCCAAACAGATGATTCGAAACTCAACAAGCTGAGAAATGTCCTTGTATGCAAGCCATTGACGAATTCGTAGTTAATTTAGCAGTACCCTCGCCAGAGCTGGGGTAATATTGGAGCGCCTTGAGAACCTTACCATAAAGATATCCAGTATTCTTAATTGTAGTAATATCGAAAATATTTATTCCTGTTTAAATCTTACTGCTAATTTTCTCTCTTTCACAAGATTAGAAAAATAGAAATGGAACCGAATCGCTTCAGTTCATCAAATAAAAGTAACGCTTGTTGAACGATTGTTAAGAAGAGATCTGCCGAGACCGTCGATGAACATTGACAGTAGACATCGATGGTGTTTGAAGATTCGCCCACATTTGGAGGCAGAATACAACGGAAGTCAATAGATACAAAGTATTATTCCTGACGGAATTTCCTCTTCTTTAGACACCTACTGCTGTTGCTATGTGGTGCTATATATATAACAGCATATCAATTTACAGGAAATGACAAAGAAACCTGGATATATCCGGTGATATATCAATATACGCCGGTAGATTTTGCTAAATATGGACTTGTGAGAGTGTGGTGTGGTAGAATTCACATTATGTACAACCTTTTGTATTTTGTATTTATTAACATTTATTTCCTTCTCAACAGCACAATATAAAACACAATGTATATATACATGATATATGTAACAATTATTTCAACATAGAGTATACAGTAATTAATTCAGATACGGAAGGAGGCGAAAATCCGGAAAGCGTAGCTTGAGTTGGGAACGCCCATGATAAATTAACACAGTTACCGAAAGAACATTATAGATATTATTATGAAAATTACATTGTATATAACAGAACGTTGATAGGAAAGAAAAAATAGTGAAAGGAAGAGAGGAGAGAATTAAGTATAGGAAGGCATGTTCACTTATAAAGAGAAAGTTACATCAATTGGGTTGTACATGTGTCTGCGATTACATCATAAAGATAACGAAGTACAATTGTAAAATAGACAGCGGGTACATATCATTACAAGCAAGCAAAATCATCAAACAGACAACAGCTTTATCCGACAGCATTGTCCTGGGAATATACAGATGGTACTAGCAACAAGTTATCAAAGCAAATATATAATCGGGCATACAAACATGTCATTAAATTCCACAAAAGATCATTTCACACATAAATACAAGAGAGGGTATCAATATCGAGCAATTAAATACATTTTTGCCTTACGGGAAAAAGTCTGCAAGGAGAGCGATTTGTGTAGAATAGATGGTAAGGTGTTCCAAAATTTTGGTCCAGAGTATCGAATGTCAAATTGAAATCTTTGGGTTCTATATTTAGGGAGACGAATGTTGGCAGCGCTTCTCGTATTATACGTATGGGTTTCCGAGTTGCATTTAAAATTGATAAAATCACTAAATTGTGATGGGAAGCTGTTATTCATGCTTTTATACATGAAAATACCCTGTTGGTGCAAGTTAATATCACTGAATCTCAAGAAAATAATTTGTTTAAAGATGGGACCAGTATGGGAACGATAGTGCATTCCGGATATTATACGAATAATCTTCTTCTGCAATAGTATAAGCTTTTGTATTTTGTACTTGCAGGAATTCGCCCAAACAAGATTACAGTAAGAAAAATGTGGAAGTATAAGAGCACAATATAACATACGTAGAATGTGATTGGGCAAGAGATGTTTGAGTCTGGATATAATGCCAATGTTTTTGGACACCTTACTTTCAACTTCGTGAATATGGTATTTCCAAGACAAGGAACTATCTAAATAAACGCCAAGAAATTTATCTACCCTTGGCAATATGACATTATCAAGAACAATATTGAAATCATTTAAATCTACATTCTTTCCATTGTGAAAAATCATATAATTACATTTCTTTACATTTATAGATAATTTATTAGATTTGAACCATTCACATATATATGTAAGAGCTGCATTTACTGCATCCATAAGAGACTTCAAGTTTGAATCTCTGTGAAATATGTTTGTGTCGTCTGCATACAGTATAAAAGACAATTCATCAGCAGATTTATAAATATCATTCACATATAATATAAATAACAATGGCCCAAGCAGGCTACCCTGTGGAATTCCGCATGTTATTGTCCTAAACTCCGAAATAGAAGATTGATATTTGGTACATTGTAATCGATTGTTAAGATAACTGGTGAAAAATTTAAAGAGCTACACCACGTATTCCATAACGATATAGTTTAGATAGTAAAATATTGTGATTAATTGTGTCAAATGCCTTAGACAGATCTATAAAAACTCCAATTGCAAATTCGTTCGCCTCAAAGGCGTCTATGACTTTACTAGAAAGACTGGTAAGAGCCATACATGTTGAATAATCCCTACGGAAACCATATTGATGTTTATTGAGAATAGAATGTTTGTCAAGGAATTCAATAGTTCTTTTATAAACAATGCGCTCGAATAATTTAGAGAAGACTGAAAGTACAGAAATGGGCCTATAGTTTGTAAATTCACGCTTGTCACCAGATTTAAACACTGGTGTTACTTTAGCTTTCTTTAGCTCATCTGGAAAAACTCCGTTTAATAATGAAAGGTTGAATACATGGCATAGTGGTCTACATATGTACATAATGACCTGTTTAATGACTCTTGGACTGTATTCGTCCAAACCTGCAGCTTTATTGTTTCCAAAAGTACTAGCAATGTTACAAATTTCGTTTTCCCTAGTAGGATATAAATACAAAGAGTCAACAGGTGGATCATTCATATACTGTAAATAATTCGTTTGGGTACCTGGGATTTTATTTTCTAAAGATGGACCAATGCTTGTAAAGAAGTCATTAAAGGAGTTCGAAATAATGTCCGGTTCTGTAGCGATGTCCCCGTTGTAATTAAATACAGAATTCTCAGCTGGCTTACTTTTGTTAAGTAGTGAATTGATCGTTTGCCACGTACGATTTACATTAGATTTATTAAGTACAAATTTGTTATGGAAATACTGAGATTTTGCTTTACGAATTAATCCTGTGAGTAGGTTACGATAGTTTTTATACACATAAGCATTTTGGTCTGATGGGTTACGTAAATACATTTTGTATAATTTATTATTATGTCGGATCGACTGTAACAGTCCATTCGTCATCCAACATTTTAATTTCTTGTTTTTGTTTTTTTCTAATACAATTGGAAAATGCTTATCATACAATGTACGAAATTTATTTTGAAAAATATTGTAACTATCGTTTGGATCTTCCGCAGCATATACACCCCTCCAGTTGACTTCGTGCAAATTCCTAATTAAGGCCTCAATATTCTTCTGATTTATAATTCTGTGACCTATGTTTACTTTCGATGATTTGACATTAGCAACATTTAACTTTGAAATGGTAAAGACAGGCAAGTGATCGGATACATCACAATACAATAGACCAGTGAGTTGTGAGTTATGATGATTCATGTTTATAGTATGCGAACAGCCTATTACAAAGGCATCTTGCGCTAGAGTGGTTCTGTACAAAATGGTGGTGTCTCGATCTATAGACCTGTTTCCTGCTCTTTGATTATGAAAAACACCACAAAAGGTTGATTTCTGTGATTGATGTTTGCCTCCCCTCTTATCCTCTCTCTCTCTCTCTCTTCCGTTTTTCTTTTTTCTCTGGCTGTGTGTTTGTCTGTCTGTATCTCTCTCTCCCTCTCTCTCTCTCTCTCTCTCTCTCTCTCTCTTTCTCTCTCTCTGTAAATGACGTGGGCTCAATCCCACCCCCTTCGTTTTTTCCTTTTATATTACTTGTCTTTCTTTTATATAAGTATACACTTCCTTGTTTACGATTATAGCGGCCTTAAGCTTTTACAGGATTTGTGCATGTACGAACATGTGTATGATTATTTTTATTAATACATCCTTTTCATTTTTATGAACACATTGATGATTTTATTTCTTCAAAGATTTGTCTTCTTTCATTATTATGCTTTAACGCTTAAGCTTTTTTATTTTTATTTTTTCATTTTAGTAAAGAAAAAAAAGTTACATGATATTGTATTATTTTGTTGTATATATGTAAATACAAAACAAACAAGTTTTACATTCATATGTAAAAACAAATTAACAGAAAAAAAAATCTTGCCAAAGAATGGAACTAGGCTCGACTAGCACTTGTGCTAACTTCTAGTTCCCATTAACAACTTCACCTAAACATAGTAATATACATATTTACGTATATATCTTTTGTACATTTAATAGTATACAGATGTATGTCTAAAAAATATCGTTTTAAAACCATTACTGTTCAATCGACATTACTGTTATGTTATGTATACATGTATCAGTATTATTCTTTGCATTATATGATTGTTCATATGTACTGTCATTATTGTGATGTGTTGTTGTTAATAAATTCAAATTCAAATTCAAATTCTCCCACATCCCCATAACTCTCTCTCGCGCGCGCTCGGTCTCTCTCTCTCTCTCTCTCTCTCTCTACCTCTGTCTCTCTCTCTCTCTCTCTCCCCCCTCTCTCTCTCTTGAAAGCGTCTACTGGTTATTCTTACGTCCCGATTTGCATAATTATAGCGCGATCAGCGACAATAGGCCTCTTTGTAACCACCCCAGAAAACCATGACGGATAAAAGAAAAAAAATGACCTTTAAAAATAATGGAAGCAATGCACACCTCTGGACAACTCGGGGGTTTCCCCTTTCCATTCAGTACTAAACCACCGTAATCACTTGACACCATTCTTTCCTGTGCATCTTTGTTCAACCATTGACATGGTCCATGGTTTAATACAATGTCGAGGAATTTCCTTGTGTACGTACCAGTCTGTTCCTGCACGCCATGTTTCTACTTCACTATCAGACCGGAGCCCCGTTCCATAAAACTTGTTATCAGCAAAGCCAAGTGACACAAATGTTGTGTTTCCTGCCCCGCCCACACCGATTTTTGGTGCCTCTTCAATATTGTTGTTATTTGTTATTTTTAAAATTCATTTATTTGTATAGAAATCATAGTTATACTTGAACCCTGCGTTATATCAGGGCATTATAAAAACCTTGTAATTGCCAAGTATAGAAATGTGTGCTTATAAAATGTAAATGTGCTTCAAATGTTGCTGATAGCAGTAAGTAGTTTTTATACCTTGTTTAGAAAGAAAAAAATGTGGGCTTACATCATA